TTGCTCTGGTTCAAATGCCTCTGACGGTGGAAAGTAAAGAATGGGATGGATTTGGAGAGCCTGAGAATGCTTGGACCATGTGGGGCAATCTTCCTTATTCTGTGAGCTATAAATGGCAGTCCATGATGGTGGTTGTGTGGCATTACCACGTCTGACACTAAATGTATATTGTTTTTCCTCACTGCTTCTTCTGACGGTAACTCCAACAATTCACTATGGTTCTGACACTACCTACCTAGTTAGTGAAGACTTCATTGGTGGAGTGCTTAGTTTTATAAGGTTGCCCTCACTGAAGATGCCACCTGCAAATGGGATTCTGAGGCTGCCCCAGTTCTGCCTGACCAATTATGAACTGGGGGGTTCCCCAAAACCCCACTCAGGGTTGATAATTCGCTACAATCACTTAGAGAAATAGGTCACTATACTTATGTTTACCCATGTATTGTCACAGATACAACTCAAATAGCCAAATGGAAGAATACACAGGGCAAGGTGGGAGTGCCACAGAGCTCCCATACCCTCTGGGGGCACCACCTTCCTGGCACACCAGTGGATTCACAAGCCTAGAAGCTGGTTGAGTCTCATTGTACAGGAGATTTTATAACCCAACATCTTGCCCCATCTCTACCCCTCACCCCCACCCCTGCCATCCCCACTTCACAGAGGAATCTGGGGACAAGGCTGAGAGTTTTCACCTTCTAATCATATGTTTTGTCTTTCTGGGGATCAGCCCCCATCCTGAAGTTGTTAGGGGCCTCCTCTACCAATCACCTCATCAGGATAAATTCGGTGTGATTTAAAGGAGCTCATTAGGAATAACAAAAGACACTCCTGTCACTGGGGAGATTTCAAGGATTTTAGTAGCTCTGTGCTAGAAACCCAGGGCAAAGACCAAATACATGTTTTATACTATTATGGTCGGTCATACAACCATCAGTAGAGGAGTATTTCAATCAAGGAGTTGAACTCCTGAGTTTTGCTCAAGACTCCACATTATTCCCCTTGTTTATCTGACCCTTGCCATTAATACAATTATCATATCTTACAGAACACTTAAAAATATATATATTTTTTTGGTAGAGATAGGGTCTCGTTATGCTGCAAAGGCTAGTCTGAAACTCCTGGCCAGAGTGCTGGGATTATAGGTGTAACAACTATCATATCTCTATTTTTTATTTATTTATTTATTTATTTATTTATTTTTGAGACAGAATCTCACTCTTGTTGCCCAGACTGGAGTGCAATGCGAGATCTTGGCTCACTGCAACCTCTGCCTCCAGGGTTCAAGCGATTCTCCTGCCTCAGCCTCCCGAGTAGTTGGGATTATAGGTAGGCACCACCATGACTGCTAATTTTTTCTTTTTTTTGTATTTTCAGTAGAGATGGAGTTTTACCATGTTGGCCAGTCTGGTCTCAAACTCTTGACCTCAAGTGATCCACCTGCCTCAGTCTCCCAAGGTGCTGGGATTACAGGCATGAGCCATAGCACCTCGCCCAACTATCATATCTTTGCCCGTAGTCTCAGCTACTCAGGAGGCTAAAGTGGGAGGACCAAGGCTGCAGTGAGACATGACTGTGTCACTGCACTCCAGCCTGAGCAACAGAATGAGACCCTGTTTCAAAAAATAATAATAATGACAAAGATCACAGGAGTGCTAATTCAGACACTGATAATAGCTCACACTTACTGTTTATTATGTGTCAGGCACACGTAATGGCCTGACATGAGTTATCCTATTTAATCCTCATAATGTTCCCACAAAGCAGGTTCATTGTTTCCCCACATAGATGAGCAAACTTGTGAGAGGCATGGAACTTGTTCAAAGACACCCATCTAATAAGTACTATAGCCGGGCTTCCCATCCAAGAGCGTTTGATTCTAAGATCTGAGCTTTGAACCATAATATTAAAATCTTACTCTATAACAGGGGGAGGTAAACTTCTTATGTAAAGAGCCAGACAGTAAATATTTTAGGCTTTGTGAACCAACATACGAAATTGAGAATACAATATAGGTTCTTACATAAAAAGTGAGAAAACCAATTTCTACCAATTTTTGAACAAAATCCAAAATTTTATTTATAAATACGGAAATTTGAATTTCATATATACTATAGTTTTCACATGTCACAAAAATACCATCACTCTTTTTATTTATCTGCAACCATTTAAAGATGCAAAAACCATTCTTAGCTTGGAGTTTAACCACACACACACACACACACACACACACACACGCACGCACACACATACACACACAAAAGCAGAGTGTGGGAGTGTAGCAGTTTCATGACTACTGTTGGACTTGAGGTGATAACAGTGGAATTGATGGCCTTGGACTATGAATGAGAAAACAAAACTAAACAAAAAATACAGAATTCCAAGAAAGAAAACTCCAGCTACGTTGTCATTTAGCTGAACCTTTTCTAGCATAGCCAAAAGTACTATCTACTTTTTCCTTGAGTGGTGAGGTTCCCATTTTGAATTTAGCAATGTAAAAAATTTCTTAAGGGAGAATGAACAGAATCCCTGAAATTAGAACTGGTCTAGAAAATTCAGCATATGTTTCTTTAGCTGTGGGTGAAGTTTAGATGTTATAATTGGTTTGGAACTCTGCCCATGTCTGTCTCTTTTACTGTAACCCACTTGCTCAAGTAAAAGGAAGATGAGGAAAAGTAAGAAGCAAAATGAGGACAAAGAAGAGATGGGAGAAGAGCTATATTTATGGCCCATATTTCCTTCATTCTTTTTTTAGGAACTCCAAAATTTCATTATATACCTTGACAAATTCACTTACTTACATAGTATTCTGGACTTCAGCCAACTCTAGTAGAGGATAATAGACAGAGATAGAGGATGCTGAGAGGAGATTCAGGACATGGTGCTCCTCCCCATCTGGCTGGGTGACCATCAGCGTTGATTAACCTTCCTGGAGTTCTGTGTCATATTCTGTAAAACAAGGGAAGAGTCCAGAATTTGATAATCCTTATAAACCAGGACCCTTGGTTACATCCAATTTAGAACTAGCAATTCCTCTCTAAAATTAGGATCAGAGAGTGCAAAGAATGTACATGATTACGTTTTGTCTCCTGACATCAAGAACACTCTTAAACTCTCCTCTAAAGAGGCAAGCCTTTGGAGTCCCTTGAGATTCTGTATCATAGTTTATAATTGTGAATCTTTTTTTTTAACTTTTATTATTATTTTTTTTTCTGACACAGAGTGTTGCTCTGTTGTACTCCAGGCTGGTGTGCAGTGGCACAATATTGGCTCATTGCAACCTCCACCTTCCAGGTTAAAATGATTCTTGTGCCTCAGCCTCCCGAGCAGCTGGGATTACAGGTGTGCACTACCATGCCTGGCTAATTTTTGTATTTTTAGTAGAGATGGGGTTTCATCATATTGGCCAGGCTGGTCTTGAACTCCTAGCCTCAAGTGATCTGCCCACTTCGGCCTCCCAAAGTACTGGGATTACAGGCGTGAGCCACCTTACCTGGGCAATTTTGACTCATAATTAAGTTTCAATACCAAGGCCAGGCATGGTGGCTCACACCTGTAATCCAAGCACTTTGGAGGCCAACGGGGGCGGATCACCTGAAGTCAGGAGTTCAAGAACAAAAATACATTATTAAATCAGAACACAGAGCATTGACACACAAATGGTAGTAGCCGACCCTAGGGAAAGAAGTAACCCAGCCCAATACCTAACAAGGTGTGGTTGCTAAGGAATTTTTACACATCAATGGTTAGCAGACAGACTCTTGTGGTTTTAAATTTACCTAGAGTATCAGCCCCTAAATCGACACGAGGGACATAGTCAGAAAACCCAGAACTGTGTCCTGCTCCCTCATCATTTCTAGTTGTGTGAGTTCAGGAAAGTTATCAAATACCTTCAAGCCTCAGTCTCTCCACTTTTAAAGTGAAGATAAGATTTATTTGAGTGTTATGAGTCTCAAGTTCATTCAGTCATTTTTTCAATGAGCATTTATTAATTTTCTTCTGTGTTCTAGATCCCAGGAATAAAAATATGGTCATATTCTTAAAGAAGTTGGCCAGTTGTGGTGGCTCGCACCGGTAATCCTAGCACTTTGGGAGGCCGAGGCGGGAGGATCACTTGAGGTCAGGAGTTGGAGACCAATGTGGCCAACCTGGTGAAACCCCATCTCTACTAAAAACACAAAAATTAGTTGGGCATAGTGGTGCATGCCTGTAATCCCAGCCACTCAGGAGGCTGAGGCAGGAGAATCACTTGAATACAGGAGATGGGAGTTGTAGTGAGTGGAAATCTCATCACTGCATTCCAGCCTGGGTGACAGAGTGAGACTCTGTCTCGCCAAAACAAAAAAGAAACAAAAAACAAAAAAGAGAGAAGCTCACAGACCAGAAAGGGGTGGTAGACAATAAACATGAATGAAACAGTAAATGGTATGAACTGGATGCTGTAGAGCCAAGATTAGGAATACCTTACCCTGCCTAAATGGGTAACAGGGGTCTCAGAAGAAGTAAAGTCGGAACTGAATATTAGCTGGGCACGGTTGCTCATGCCTGTAATCCCAGCACTTTGGGAGGCCAAGGTGGGAGTATTGCTTAACTCCAGGAGTTTGAAACCAGCCTGGGCAACATAACAAGATGCCATGCCATCTCTACTAAAAAAAGAAAAACAATCTTGTGGGATTGATGGATGAGTGGGGATTAGCCAAGGTGAAAGGAGAAAATGTGTTCCAGACAGACATGGCAGCATGAAAAAGAAATAAACAGAAGAAAAATGTGTTACGTTTTGCAATCTGCATTTCCTTTGTACTCCTGAAAAGTATAATGTGACAAGTATTGGCAAATAAAGTGACATAGTTTAAAAGTGTGTCATACCATTTTTTATTTAGTCCGGTTCTCTTAAGTTCAGTTTCAGTTGACTGATTAATATATATCATACTCAATTCTTTGGAAGTGAGTCACTAAGCACAGTTCATACTAAATAGATGTTTCCAGCCATATACAGCCATATGAGAATTAGCAGTAAGACTGCGTTTAAAACACAGAAGAAACGTTTCTCTCAAATTGCTCTGCTGTGAGTTCATTCACCTTAGGAAGCTGCATCTATGTTTAGATTCAGTGAGTTAGTAACACGTTTCTTCTGAAAGCTGCGTTTGGATATTCCAGAGTGAATGGGACTATAGGCTGTAATGAGAAATATCTGGCTTTAAAACAAAAACGGAACTATCTAGCAGAATGGTTGTCAAAGTGTAGATTCAACTTACAGAGTTAAACTGATGTGTGTATGAAGCGTTTCAGAAACCCTTTCTTTGGAGAGTCAAGATCTTTCTGAAGACTCTGACCAGTAAGACCATCACCCTTGAGGTCGAGCCCAGTGACACCATTAAGAACGTCAAGGCAAAGATCCAAGACAAGGAAGGCATCCCTCCTGACCAACAGAGATTGATCTTTGCCAGGAAACAGCTGGAAGATGGGCGCAACCTATCTGACTACAACATTCAGAAGGAGTCCACCCTTCACCTCATCCTCCGTCTCCGAGGTGGGATGCAGATCTTCGTGAAGACCCTTACCAGTAAGACCATCACCCTTGAGGTCGAGCCCAGTGACACCATTGAGAATGTCAAGGCAAAGATCCAAGACAAGGAAGGCATCCCTCCTGACCAGCAGAGATTGATCTTTGCCGGGAAACAGCTGGAAGATGGGCGCACCCTGTCTGACTACAACATCCAGAAAGAGTCCATTCTGCACTTGGTCCTGCGCTTGAGGGGGGATGTCTAAGTTTCCCACCCCTTTAAAGTTTCAACAAATCTCATTGCACTTTTCTTTCAATAAAGTTGTTGCATTCTCCCCCAAAAAAGTGTGTGTGTGTGTGTGTGTGTATAAATATATACGTATGCATATACACATGTATACACACGTATACATACCCCATCTCTTGAGTGTGGGCTGTATTTAGTGACTCACTTCTAAAGAATTGAGCACAGGAAGGGAAAAGAGTTATGTGAACACTGGAAGAACCTGACAAACACTGTCTCAACCACGTGATCAAGGTAAACATCACGAGTGACAAGTCATGTTGTACCATTTTTTCTTTTTTCAGATGGAGTCTTGCTCTGTCACTCAGGCTGGAGTGTAATGATGCACTGTCGGCTCACTGCAACCTTCGCCTTCCGAGTTCAAGTGATTCTCCTGCCTCAGTTTCTCAAGTAGCTAAGATTACTGGCACATGCCACCACACCCGATTGATTTTTGTATTTTTAGTAGAGACGGGTTTTTGCCATGTTCGCCAGCCTGGTCTTGAACTCTTGACTTCAGGTGATCTGCCTGCCTCAGCCTCCCAAAGTGCTGGGATTACAGGCATGAGCCACTGCACTCAACCATATTGTACCCTTGATATGATGTCATGAGAATGGCACTTCAACTCTGCGGTTTTCCTCCGAGACAACAAATAACTCCAGTCTAGCTGAGAGAAAGACATAAGACAAACCCAAATTGAAGGACAGTATATGAAATCTCTGACCAGTAGTCCTCAAAATTATCAAGTTCATCAAAAACAAAGACTTAGGAAGTTGTGACAGCCTAGAGGAGGCTAAGGAGACCTGATGACTAAATGCAAAGTAGCTGTCCACATGGGATCCTAGAACAACCCACCCCCCTGCCAAAATAAAAGACACTGGAGGAAAATTAGTGAAATCCAAATAGAGTTTCCATATAGCCCTTGCCCAGTTTCCCCTGTTGTATATTAACATCATACATTATCATGGTATAAACTCCATGGAGTTTAAATAATAGTAATTAGCAATCTTGGTTGCTTAGCTGTGACAGATATACCATGGTAACGTACAATGTTAATAACAGGGGAAACTGGGCAAGGGGTATATGGGAACTCTCTGTATTATCTTTGAATCAAAAAGCTAAAACTACTCTAAAATTAAAAAAAATTGTAAATATACAATGTTAAATGAATAAAAATATACAATACTCTATCTCTTTAATATTGGTTGAGAAATGTAAAAGGCAAAGAGCTTTCTAAGCCATATTACCATCCCTGAGGACATTTTACAATTTTGTCATTATCTGGGAGGGAACTCCTATCTCCCAATATAAACTGTGCTGAGAAAAATGGGTATTTCTGAGATCAGTTCCCAGTAAGACTTATTTGAAGTGCAGGAGTTCAAAGAGAAACAGAGCAAGGTAGAAAAGGGTCTTTGGAATTAAGATTCCTAGGAGCTCTTTCATCTGATGCTTAATTTGTTGTGATTGTGTTAGAATATTTCCTCTGACATCTTGGAGTCTGGGAGAAGGCCAGTAGAGTCCAACACTTTTCAACTGTCTTCATAAATCCCAGTCTGAAAATTGGAAAAAAATGTTCTCTCACAAAATTGAAGATGTGAAATCCTGTCCAATGAGCAAGCTAAAGGCAGTATTATGGGATGCAAAGACCTTGACACGAGAGGAACCAGGCCTGGGCACATTGTGGGCAAGCAACTGTTCTGCCTCTCTGCCTATAGCATAAGATGAGAATTTTGGAGCAGTTTATTTTCTCCTTCTAACATGAATATGCTAGGATTCGTTTCCTAGACAGTTTTAAACATGTTTGTGGGCATGATCTCTCTCCACAAGACTGAATAATTTGCAGAGCCAAGAGAATTTCTAAATACTGATTTAATACAACTATATTATGAAAGGCAAACTTACTTTTCAAACTAATGAGTTTGGATGGATCAGCCTGCAGGGGCATATATGTTTCATAGAATTAACCAATCTGCTCATCTCTTCTTTTGGTTTTACTTACAGCATCTGGGTTAGTCTCAGGGAAAGAGTGTTTCTTTTTTTTTTTTTTTTTTTTTATTTCCAGAGTTTTCCTCTAAAGTGTGTGTTTCTTAAAGTCTTCCTGTTGTTCAAACTTGTTCACAGAGAGCCAGGCCTCTCTCTGTGTCTTTCTTCCAAAAAAGGAAAGAAATTGCTTCATTCATTCATTAATTTGGACAATCGCTTCCTTAAACATTGATTTATTTCTTCACATACTTAGATTATGTAGAGAGAACTACATTTGGTTAGTTACTAGACGCTACCAAAAAGCTCATACTTATGTAGAAAAAGAAACAAAGAAAAAATATAATGTAGTGTAATAAAGCTGTACAGTGTGTGCTCAGGAACCTATAGGAGGAATCACAAATCCAGCTTGATTTGTCAACCCTCTTTCTGATTTTGGGCTTTTGTACCTGCATTCCCTAAGTCTGAAACACTTCCCCAAACATAGTCATGGCTTGCTCTGAAGCTTAATTTAGTTTTTTTGTTGGTTGGTTTGGATTGGTTTGGCTTTTCTTGAAATGATGCCTCACTCTGCCACCCAGGCTGGAGTGCAGTAGTGCGATCTCAGCTCACTGAAGCCTCTGCCTCCCAGCTTCCAGTGATTCTCCTGCCTTAGCCCTTTAGTGGCTGGGATTATAGGCACATACCACCACACCTGCTCAATTTTTATGTTTTTAGTAGAGACAGGATTTCATCATGTTAGCCAGGGTGATTTCAAACTCCTGACCTCAAGTGATTTGCCCATGTCTGCCTCCCAAAGTGCTGGGATTACAGGTGTGACCCACCATGCCCAGCCTTAATTCAGTTTTTTGCTCAAAATCCCTCCTCGAATGAAGCCTAATACCTGATATTTCCCTTACTGTGCTTTATTTTTTTTTCAGTGATATGATATTATATATTTAGTTGTTTATTTATAATCTGTCTGCCCATTAGATGGGCAGGAGGGCAGAAACTTCTATCCTGTTGACCATGATATCTCAAGTGCCTAGATTTCTGTTTTGTGAATATTTGTTAAGTGCTGAATGAATGAATGAATGAATGAGTGAATGAATGGATGAACGCTGAGTGACATATGAAAGCTCCTTGGAGAAGGTGGCAATTTAACTGAATAATTGGAGGTATGAGTAGGAGTCACCAAGGCAAAGACAATGAAAACAGTTATTCTAGGTAGAGGAAGCACATCAGTAGAAGCCTGTAAAGATGAAAGAGCTTGGAGTGTTCTCCAAATTGCAAATAGTTTGGTGTTGCTGAAGCCTGGGATGAGATGGGATAGGAGCGAGCAGCTATGAGGCTGGAGAGGTCAGCAGGGGCAATCACATGGCAGTGCATGCCAAGCAAGGAAGAGGGTGGCCTTGAGGTGTGGCTGAAGAGCCATTAGAAGAACCCACAGAATGCCCTCATCTTCCCAAACTTGCTTGTTTTTTTCTTCAAAATCCCACAACAACTCCAAATCTTTTCTGTTGGCTTTCCTTTAAATAGGGGTCTTTCAAAGTTTTTGGACTATAATCCACAGTAAGAAATACATTGACGATGATGTGCAGTTCATAAGTAGGCCAATAGATAATTGATAGATACTTAATCCTTACTACATCGAATGTACTCTGTTCTGTTCTGTTCTGTTCTGTTCTGTTCCATTCCGTTCCATTCCGTTCCGTTCCGTTCCATTCCGTTCCGATGGTGTAATCTTGGCTCACTGAAGCCTCCACCTCCCAGGTTCAAGCGATTCTTGTGCCTCAGACTCCTGAGTGGCAGATATTTTATACAGGCATGGTCCACTATGCCCAACTAATTTTTTTTTTTTTTTTTTTTTTTTTTTTTTGGTATTTTTAGCAAAGAACAGGTTTCAGGCTATTCTCAAACTCCTGAACTCAAACAATTCTCCCACCTCAGCCTCCCAAAGTGCTGGAATTACAGGCCTGAGCCTCAGCACTGGTCCATATTCCAATCAATTCTTAAGACTGCTGGTTGTTCCCACTAAACCCCTCTACCTACTGCTTTCAAATACACCTGTAACTGGATCATGATGTAAATATCTTTTTACTTTCTTTTACCGAGGATTACCTTTTAAAAAGTCTGAGCAATACTTGTCTATAGCCCAAGGCCCAGGCCCAGACATTTCTGCATCAGAGAGCACACCCTAGGCAAATGGCCCTCAACCCTGATTCCTCAGATCCCATGCTGGGAGACTTCTGTGATGAAGAACTGGGAGGCCAGTTAATGGCCCTTGCCTTCAGCAGTGAATGCTTAAGGAGTGTTCTGCTTTCTGACAGTGTGCCTCTGTGCATGCCAACAGTAGTTACCTTTCAGAGCATAGTTGTATTAAATGAGTTCTTAAAGTGACCTGGATTCCAGACAGGGAGCCCCAGGGGATGTGCTTGCATTTCTTGTGAAGATCATCATTGCTTATATCAGTCATCTTAGCAAAAGGCATTTAGCAGACTTGCATGTGTCTGGCATAGTTGGAGTCTGCCTGGTTTATGGGTTGTTGATGTTAACTTGCAGGAGGGAAGATGATTTTTGAAATAAATCTTTGCCCAAAGCAATCAGAAGTCTCTGGATTATGTTTAGTGAAGGAGAAGGCAGTGTGCTGATGGGAAAGAGCATGGAATTGTGAGTTGGAGGAGATGGAATTTAGTCTAAGACTCTCCTGTTGTGACCACGGTCAAGTTATTTAACTTCTTTAAACTCAGTTTCCTTATGAATGAAACAGATGTAATAATTTCCTCCCTTGACTTCACAGAGACATTTTAGGACTAAAATTAATATATGTGAAAGTGCTTTGCCATGCCCAGAACAAATGATAACAGTTTGTTCTGAGCATGAATGATGATAATTAATAAGTGCCTTCCAAACAATTATAAAACTACCACCTTAAAGAAAAGAAAACAGACTCCAGAGAGATGAAAAACTGATAAACAAAGGGGAGAAATGAATGATGAAGCTAGAATTCAAACCCAGGCCGTTGTGATTTTAAAGTCCTGCTGTGAACCACTCTGCTCTATAGGACACAGCCTGGAGAATGCATGAGTT